GCCATGATTGAGAGACTCAACAATAAATCTCGCGGTAACGAGCATAGAATATATGCCATAGCCATGCCTCTAGACCCCAGCCAGGCTGTTTCATCTGGGCAACCCAGAGTGGGAGTGGATGAGGTCCCCTCCCCTTCCCAACAGAGCCAGCTCTGGCAGCCGAAAACCTCCAGAACTCAACCACTGCTGTGCTCACGGCCACTCTCCACACACTTGGACAGGCCTCACCCCATGCATGAGTCAATCTACTCCTGACATCTCATATTTGACACCACCAGAATTTCAAGTGTATCACACCACATTTGATGGGGTTTAAAGTAGAAGGTAACCAATCTTAGGGGGAAATACTTTTATATGTACATACATATATATGTATATGAACACAGAGCTCAACTTTCAACAACATGTCACTAATCTCTTATAGAAGGGCTTAAAGGCCCCTGGGTGAAATACAACAATCTTCACACACTTCCTCTAAGAAACCTTTTTTGGATCATTTTTAGTGGATTACTCATAACAAGCAATACAAAATAAATTATTTCGGTTCTGCTTGGGGGTGATAATTTGGGGTTTGGTATGGAAACATCCGAAATATGGTGGTGGGAAGGCATAATGGTGGTGGGATTGGTGTTCAAATATTAAATGTAATCAAATATGGTAAACAACTTTATAAAAATACAATTAAATATGGTATATACTCATAATAGAATACTATACAGCTATAAAAAGAGAAAACATTGCCATTTGCAGCAAATTAGAAGGAACAGGACGGGATTACATAAAGGGAAATTAAGTCAGATTAAGAAAGAACAATCTATATTGGATGCTATCATCTATGCGTGCAACATAAATAAAACTGATGAATCAAACTAGTGGAGGGGCTGGAGCTATAGCACAGCGGGTGCTATAGCTTACACACAGCCAACACGGCCAACCTGGGTTCGATTCCCAGCATCCCATATGGTCCCCCGAGCACCGCCAGAAGTAATTCCTGAGTGCATGAGCCAAGAGTAACCCCTGAGCATCGCCGGGTGTGACCCAAAAAGCAAAAAAACAAACAAACAAAAAAACCAAAAAAAAAAAAAAAACTAGTGGACTCTGACAAGGTAAGGTATTGTGTATTATTTGAGAAAATAAAATTAGAAATAAAAAAATTGAAACAAGGCCAAGAGATAGTAGAGGTGGTAAGATGTTTGCTGACCTCAGTTTGATCCCTGGCACCACACATGGTCCCCTGAACACTGCCAGGGGTCACTCTTATGCACAGAGCCAGAAATAGTTTCAAATGCCAACCCTTCCCCCCTCCCCCAAATTGATAAAGCAAAGAGAAGATTAAGGAATAAATATATTCAATGATTTATCTTTTATCATATAGCTTGCCAAACACAGCACAATCGTGTGTGTGCGTGTGCATACATGTGTGTGTTGGGGCCACACCAGGCAGCTACGTGCTTGGGAGTTGCTTCTAGTCGGGCTCAGGAACTGAACCCAAAGGTCCAATATGCAAAGCATTCGCTCCAGCCCCTTGAGTGATCTCTTGGCCCCAGCACCATCATTTTCAAAACTCAATGCTTATTATTATAATAATATAATACTATATTACAGGCCTACAACTCTAAATAATTGATTTTTGTTGGTCTTTAAAGTCGTCAGTGTTAAACCTTAATATCTTGGTCTTGATTTGCACAAACAAAATACATCCTGATTTATAAACAACTTATAACGGATCTGTCCACTAAAACAGCCTGTAGTAACTTTTGGATAATCTAGGTAAGGGGAAATAACCCCCCAAAGTGTAACTGAGAACATTAAAAATCTTAGTTATATGAATGATCTTCTTTTCATCGGCCTCTTACTAGGGATACTATTTGGCAGAAAAGTGGATGGATTTGCATCTCACTTTCTTTCAGAAGCAGTAACGAGTTTTTCACTTAGAAGAAATTTTCTGAATAGTATATAAATATTAGATTGGCATTCTGTCAGTTTTGTTTTTTGTGCCAGGGTACTTAGTGTTTATGCCTCACGGTCAGGGGATCATTCCTGGCAGGGCTTAGGGGGTCCGATGTAGTGCTGGGCATCAAATCCAGGTCGCCTGCAGGCAAGGCACGCACCCAACTGCTCTACAATCTCTCTCCAGCCCCTAGACAGACATTCTTCACAAATACCATCATCAAACCAGTAAGCTGTACTTGCTTACTTGTTTTTTACTTTGCAAAGACCTTTAATTCCAACTTCACAGATAAATGCTTGGCATAATTTAGGTCCTTATGATACTTATTAACAAGTCTAATCTTTGGAGTAGAAACCACTGGAGAATTTAGTGGCTCAAGAGTAAATTTGTCAAATTTAGTCAAGTGGTTGCCTCTGGAAGCAAAGCAGCAAAAGTGTCATACTAGGGGAATGTGGGCAGAGAGGGAGGGTAGGAAATACCTCTGCTTTTCATCTCTTAAATTAGATAAGGGCTCTAACGGATCTTTGTATATTTCTCTATTGCCTCGCCTACTTATAAAATATTACATTTTTTAAAAGGAGTGGCAACTGACTGAATTGATCCTGAATGGACCCAGTCCTGGTGATCCAGGTAAAGTGAGTAAACTCCTGACCTCAGTCCTAAAAGTCTGTTGCCAAAAGGCTGAAGCAACAGCACAATGGGTAGGGTGTGCTTGCCTCGCACTCAGCCAACCCGGGTTTGATTCCCAGCCTCCCACATGGTCCCCGAGCACCACCAGGAATAATTCTGAGTGCAAAGCCAGCAGTAACCTCTGGGCACTGGATGTGGCCTCCACAAAATAAAAGTAAATTAAAACGTTTTGTAGAAATTTTATTTGGCAAGTTCTCAGTACCTTTAAATTACTAGACCTTAAATTATGAAACACGTTTGGAAATGTTTCTGTGTTCTCTCACTTTCACACTTTTCTTTAAAGTCACCAATATTTTCCATGTTGGAAAAAAGCAGCCTAAGATTGAACATGTGTTTTATGTTGATATATTTTTGGTTTTTATGTTATATGGCAAAGAGGTGTAAATATTAAATATCAATGTCAAGAAATGACTATCAGACTCCCCTCCACTTTGCTCATGTCAAAGGCTCTGTGATGAACATTCCCCTAAAGCTAATTCTCACGACTCTGATCTTTGTCTTACACAAAACCTACACAGCTGGGAAATCACATAGTGTCAATGAACTTTCATTTCATAAACCTGAAGACTGAGCAACACTTAACAACTATCAGCTTGGTTTCTAGCTATATCTGAGACAGTAACACTTAAAAAGAAAATTGGGGGCAGGGGATATTTGTTTTGGGGCCACTCCCAGATGTATTCAGGCGCAGCTCAGGGGACCAGATCAGGTGCTAAGGATCTAACCAGGTCAAGTATGTATAAAGCAAGTACCCTACCCACTGTACTATACTGCGGGCCCCCCTTTTAAATTTTTTTTTTTTTTTTTGCTTTTTGGGTTACACCCGGCAATGCACAGGGGGTTACTCCTGGCTATGAGCTCAGAAATTACCCCTGGCGGTGCTCAGGGGACCATATGGGATGCTGGGAATTGAACCCAGGTCGGCCGCGTGCAAGGCAAATGCCCTACCCGCTGTGCTATTGCTCCAGCCCCCCTTTTAAATTTTTTAAAGTAAGGTCCACCTTTGAAAGTACCACTGGTCATTCCAGGTTCAGGATTTGGGATTAATCCCTAGAGGTATTATTAAAACTAGGGTTGAAAGTATGCAAGCTAGCTAGCTAGCTCACTGAAGGAACACTTTCAACATGAAGTACTGAATCAGGTATGTTTATACCAAAGTGTTGCCATATAGGAATGGAAACACTAGGGCAATGAAGAATGCTCAGTCTCATTTAGAAACTGTGTATCTGAGAGCGCTGACCTGGGTCTGATCCCAGGGACTGCCTGGTGCATTGGCAGGAGTGACTTTCCCGCATAGAAACCCGAAAAGCCCTAGCACTAAAATCCAAAATAAAATTCAACATTACATCAACGTACAGGATGGAGAGACAGTATAGTGGGTAAGGGGCTTGTCTTGCATGAGGCTGGCCTGGGTTCAAGTCCAGCCCTGCCAGGAGTGATTCCTCAGAGCCGAGCCAGGAGTAAGCCCCGAGTACTGCTGGATGTGGCCTCAAACCAAATCAAACGCCCCCCCCACCAAAAAAAATTTTTTGAAGTAAAATAAAAAAATTAAAGTCAATTTAAAATATAGTTCTAGGGAGGCCAGAGTGATAGTAGGTCAATTACGTACAAGGCAAGTATCCTACCCACTGTACTATCTCACTGGCCCCACTTTTAAATTTTTTAAAATAAGGTCCACCTATTGAAAGTACTGACTTGCGCACAGGCGACCTGGGTTTGATCCCTGAGTACAGAGCCAGGAATAAGTTCTGGCACAATTGGGTGTGGCCCAAAAACCAAAAGTTTAAAAAAAAAACAAAAACAAATTCTGGAAGCTGGAGAGACGGTACAATCGGTAAGGCACTTGCCTTGCACACAGCTGACACAGGTTCCATCCCTGGCATGGCAAATGATCCCTCAGTCGGGGTAAACCCTGAGCCCTGGACACAGCTGGGTGTGGCTCCCAAGCCAAAATAATAGTAATAAATAAATAAAATTTAAAAGTGGTTCTGTGAACAGAACCATTATGAATAAGCACCAGCAATACTAGTTTTAGTCCACACCTGTATCAACTGTCCAAGTTGAAACACCAGTACAACTCAGAATATAAACCTTCTTACAACACTTCCCTTTCTCACAAGGGCAAGAAATTAACTGATGGTCATTCCAGGCAGTATGACATTACCAAAAAATACCCTCCAAAGTTATCAAGGAAAGCAAAACGTTCAGTGACAAAGTAATACAAGCAAATGAAAAATAACACAGTGATGTTCCAAAACCATGAACATTGAGTCTTCACATTCAAACTGAACATTTGACTTCACCGGTAGCTCTGCCTCGCCTCTGTCCAGATTTTGTTTCCGTGCCTTCAGTTACTCACCGAGCGCATCTGGATTGACCGGTCTGGAGACGTCACTTTGCCCCATGATTATGCTGTACGATGTGTCTCACGACAACAAATTGTCCCGGACCACAGAAACCTTGTTTCAAAGGAAAAACGCTCATACGGAGAGGCAAGTGATCCCCTCTGTGCCACCGACCAATGCCAGAAGGGGTTTGAGGCTCGACGGTCTGCCGGGATTCTCGTTCGCCCGGGTGCTGGTCTGGGCACTCACAGCTCCGACAAAAATGTCCTCATGCCGGCTCTCTTCACACAGGAATGCCTGTCATTCCAGGGTGCGCAGTGAAGAGCCCGAGTGCAGGAAGGGGAGGAGTCTGCAGCCCCAGCCTGGCTGCTGGGTGGCTGCCTCGGCACAGCCCTGAAAGTCCACACCTACTTTTCCTGACACTGGGCTGGGCTCAGCACTCTCCCGATCCACAGTCTCAGGAGAGGGAGGCTACCCAAGAATGTGCCGAGTTAATCCCACACAAGACCCTAGTGATGCGCAGCAGGCCAGTGGGAGCAGAAGTCCACTCAAAAGCACGCGTTAGAGCTAGACAGGCCTCCGAAATGTCACACCCTTCTGAGGCCTCACTGAGCGCTCTAGAATTGTATTTCCTACCTGAAGGCGGCACGCCCCAAGCAGGAGATCTAAGCACTGGGAATGAAAGACACTGGCTGGGAACAACAATTATAACTGAATAAACATTTTCTGAAAAGGGGGGGAGGGAGCTGGGAGGCTCAAGTGGTAGACAGAGTACAAGAGTAGATCCAGAGGCAGGAAGGAGAATGAGGGGGAAGCAAGAAGGAGAATGAAGGGGGCTTGAAAGAGAGAAGCAGAAGGGGAGTGGGGATTGGAACAAACTACAATTGATACCGACCAGCCTGGCCCTTGTTCCTTCCTTCGCCTACCTATCGCCTCCCCGGGGTGGGTGAAGCGGCCGAGACCATCAAACCACAAAGAGAGAAAGCGCTGCTGACCTTTTGAAAACACGTATCTGGCATCCCTGGGTCTACAAGCCTGGAAAGTCTGAGACCTTGGGCTCTGAGCAGCACCACCAGGACAGGTTCTGGGGGCCTCCAAGTATACCTGTGCCAAGCAGTGCCATGTGTGAGTCCATAACAATTAAAAACTAAAAAATAGGGGTGTGGGGGGGAGAGATAATACAGCAGGTATGGTCTTGCACACAGTCAACCTGGGTTTGATCTCTGGCAAGCCATTTGGACCTCCAGCCACGCCAGGAATGATCCCTGAGCAGTGAGCCAGGAGTAAGCCTTGAGCATTGATGGTTGTGGCCTCAAAAACAAAACAAACAAAAAACAACTGAAAGTATAAATAAAAGGGTTGGGGATATGGCACAGATAGTAAAACCTGAGCCATCTTACCTTATGGTATTTAAGGTAAAGTGATTTAATCTATGTATATTTCTCCTTTAAATATTCAGGAAGAATTATACAAATAAGTTCAATAACCACCATATGATCTTAAAGAAATATGCTACTTCAGGGAGTGGCCCTGCATGCTGGGTGTGACAAAAGGGAAATAGCAGCTAACTACAGAAGGTCCTGCCTCCTGATCATCATCCTCCTTCTTTGTGTGATGTAACTCATGTATACATGGTTAGATGAATACTTGGACACAGCGGGATGAACTTTTATTCATACACATACCCGTGTATACTAACACTAAAATTTCCAAGTGTAACAGAACCACACATAACGCAAATTTCCCACACTGGTCAGCCACATACTCCGGATTAGTTCACTAACATCTGAAGGTAGAAAAAGAAACTAACAATTGTATTCTGTTGTTGTTGTTGTTATCTGTTTTGTTTTTGGGCCACATTAGTTGTGCTCAAGGCTTACTCTTGGCTCAGTGTTCAGGGTTCATTCCTGGCAGGGTTCAGGGATCATATGTGGTGATAGCAATTAAATCTGGATCGGTCACATGCAAGGTAAGTGCCTTAGCCATTATCTCTCTCTGGCCACAATTCTCAGTTTTATATTCCTTATTTCACATCACCACAATCAACCATGTGCTGCAAAAAATACATTAATATCTATTATTAATAAAAAAAAAACCCAAGGCTAGTGAAATCAAATCATGTGTCTGGTCAAGTTTGTAAATGCAAAAACTCTAATATCCCTTCAACAAACGACAACTACCAAATAAATGAAGCTTTAGTTTATTTTGGTTTTTGAGTCACATCCAGTCGTGCTCAAGAGGTCACAATAGCAGGGCTTGGGAACTATGAGGTGCTGGGGTTAGAACCCAGAGCAGCCACAAGCAAAGTAAATGCCCTATCCATTATAGTATTGCTCTGGCCCTTGACACACTTTAGCTTAAATCTTGTTCTCCAGATGGAGATTTCAGAAAGATGTCTGGTATCTAGAACTAGGTGTCTTTCCTTCCATCCCCATTATCTGATTTTGACAGAGGAATAAAATAGTTAAGTTAAAAAAAAAAGAAAAAAAAAACACATGTTAGCATCTGTTAAAAAAAGTGCTGGAAAAACAAAAACAAAAACAAAAACACCACCTGGGGCTGGAGTGATAGCACAGAGGGTAGGATGTTTGCCTTGCACACGGCCAACCCGGGTTCGATTCCCAGCAGCACTGCCAGGAGTAAAACCTGAGTGCATGAATGAACCAGGAGTAACCCCTGTGCATCGCCGGGTATGACCCCCCCCCCCCAAAAAAAATTTAAAAAAAGTGTTGGGCTGGAGAGAGAGTACAGCAGGTAGAGTGCTTGTCTTGTACGTGGCCAACTGGGGTTTGATCCCCAGCATCCCATATGGTCTCCTAAGTACCGCCAGGAGTAATTCCTGAACACAGAGCCCTGAGCAATGTCAGGTATAGCTCTCACCCCCTTCAAAAAAAAAAAAAAAGCACAGGCTGGAGAGAAAGCAGCCTGAGTTTGAACCTCTGCACCCATATCACCCCTGAGCACTGCCAAGAGTGATCCTTGAGTACAGAGTCAGCAGCAAACCTGGGGCAGAATCAGGTATACTCCAAAAAACAAACACACAAGCAAACAATTATGCAGACATTCAGACAATATTTAGTTGTCAATACTGGTAGTCTGCTACCCGTGGCACATTCGATATGCCAAAACCAGTAACCAGTAACGACTACAGGTCTCATTCCCCTGACCCTGAAAGAGCCTCCAATCGTTGGGAAAAGATGAGTAAGAAGAGGCTGCTAAAATCTCAGGGCTGGGAGGAATAGAGATGTTTCTGGTGCCCACTCGGAAAAACAACATAATAGCAACCACTAAACAGTAAAAAAGTAAAGGATGGGCCAGAGCAATAGCACAGCAGGGGAGGGCGCTCACCTTGAACATGGCTGACCTGAGTTCAATCCCTGGCATTCCACCGGATCTCAAGAGCACTGCCAGAGATAATTTTTCTTAATTAAATAAAAATTGAATTGAATCACCATGAGACACACAGTTACAACGTTGTTCATGTTGAGACTCAGTCGTACAATGTTCCAATACCCATCCCTTCACAAGTGTTATTTCCCGCCATGGATGTCCTTAGTTTCCCTCCCTCCCCACAGCCTGCCTCTATGGCAGGCACAGGGATGATTCTCCAGTGCAGAGCCAGGAGCTGCCTTAAGAATTGCCAGATCTGGGGTGAGGGGAGGGAAGAATTAAAGGAAGCAAAAAAAAATATACTGGAAGAATGTCAAATTTAATTATGTCCAGTTATCTTCACATCTTGGCCTAGAAGTGGACTACATGTAGTAGCAGTTTCCACCACTGAAGGATTGAGGCCAAAGGTAGCAAATACCCTGCCTGGAAGCCAGTAGGTGCTCAACATACTGTGATAAGCTCAAAGGGCGGGAATACATGCTGTGTGCTGTGTTAAGCCTGGTACAATACACTGAGCACTGCGAGTGTGCCCCCCAAACCAAACCAAACCAAACTTAAAAAAGATGAGCTTTGGAAGGAAGGTCAAAATCTTGTAGTCTATTGTACCCCTGGGCTGGAGCGGACAGCACAGCAGGTAGGGCATTTGCCTTGCACGTGGCTGACCCGGCCAACCCAGGTTCGATTCCTCTGCCCCTCTTGGAGAACCCGGCAAGCTACCAAGAGTATCTCGCCCGCGTGGCAAAGCCTGGCAAGCTAGCCGTGACATATTTGATATGCTAAACACAGTAGCAACAAGTGTCACAACGGAGATGTTACTGGGCCCACTCGAACAAACGGATAAACTATGGAGGACAGTGCTATAGTGCTACAGTGCATTGTGCTGCTATCCCACAGGCATTCAGATCCAGGTCTCATGCAGACAAGGCTGAAATTTTAATTCCAGCTCTATTCACGAGGCAAATTTATTATTATTATTATTATTATTTTGGTTTTTGGGCTATATCTGGCAATGCTCAGGGGTTACTTCTGGCTCTGCATTCAGGAATCACTCCTGACAGTGCTCAGGAGACCATCTGGGATGCTAGGAATTGAACACAGGCTGTGTGCAAGGCAATCCTCCCTGCTGTACTATCACTCTGGCTCCAAGGAAAATTACTTAAAAAAAAAACAACTCTTGAAAACTTGGTTCTCTAATTTGTAAACTGGGCATAACAATACTTACCAGAACAATTTTAAGGATTAAAGAAGAATAGAAATGAAACACTCTGCAGTATACTTAGGCACATAGAAAGTTCTCAATGAATGCAAGCAATAATTATCATGGCAGTTATTGTGACAAAACAAGAAAGGAGAGGGCAGGTCAGGAACAGTTTGACAATGGTATAAGCAAAAACAAAACAAACAAACGAAAAAATCTCTTTACAAAGAGGTTAGTCAGAAACGGAAGGGGATGACATTTCTGTACCACAGATCCAGAGAGCAAACTGGAAGAGGCAGGCCAAGAAGGAAGTCTGAATACAATCAAAGTTGGTATATAGAAACATGAAGATAGAGCCAGAGAGGCAGGCAGGCAGGCAGGCAGGCAGGCAGACACACACACACACACACACACACACACACACACCAGGGTCCTTAAATCTACCAAATTTATCATCTAGATAACATGGTTACAGTTGTCTAGCTTTTATGGGTTTGAGGTACAGAGTTCTGCAC